GCTCCGGCTTCGCGAGACAAAGAAACGTGGCGAGCCTAAACCTACGCCCCCCACGTGACCCCTCCCCGTCCCCGTGAGACGGCATATCACGTGACCCGTATACCACGTGACGTGCGCGCCGCTTAACCCGGAACTTACAGCTCCCAGGCCTGGGCGTAGTACTCGGTACCCAGGGTTGCTCTGAAAAGGCGGACGAACTGAGCACTGGAGCCCTGGTCGGTGTCCGCGGGGTGGCCATCCTGCCTGGGGATTGGACGCCTCATTGTAAATGTTCCCAGTGCAACGAGCTGCGGAAATCCAAACCAACTGGAAGCGTTTCTCAGCGTGTTCTAGGGTTGGAGGGATTAGACAGGGTCGGGTACACGTGGAGAGATGCAGGCGAGATGACAGGGATTAGTGAGAGCAGACGTGCTGTAATGTGTGCTTCCCGCATTATGGTGCTTTTTCCCACGAGAATGTGCCTTCCGAGTGGGCGGGAAACTGGCTCACCAACACCTGCCACAGCAAACACTAGACACTCAGTGCACAATTGCCTCGTTAATCCCTGAATTATCCAATAGAAATATAATGCGAGCCACATCTGTAATTCCCAATTTCTAGTAGCCACGTTGTAAAAATACAAAGCAACGGTAATTTTTTTATTTTTAACCGTAAAAATTTATAATTTATTTTTAACGGTAAAATATACTTCCTTTAACCCAGTATATCAAAACTATCATCCTCGTTTGACATATATTTAAAAAAAATATTAGTGAGATATTTTACATTCTTTTCTTCATATTGTCTTCAATATCCGGTGTGTATTTTACAATATTGTACATGACTAGCCACATTCCAAGTGCTCAATCGCCTCATGTGGCTGGTGACATCCATATTGGACAGTGCTGGTCTAGACTCTTTGTTTTCTAGGTCAAAGGTGTGGGCAATTTCTTCCGCCAACTGGACAAACCCAGAACATCAGGAGGCTCTGGGGAGACACCACAAGGAAAGTCATATGGGAAATGCATTCCAACAACAAACATTTCTTAAGCACCTACTTACCACATGCTTTGACTTGGTATCCACCTCCCACCCGCAAACAAACTCTAAACCCACTTGACCTGAACAACTTTACACTTCCTTACCCAGTATTTACTTCGGAGGAAGGGGAAGGTGGCATTAAATGGCCTTCTTTTCTATGGTCTGTAATTATAATCCACCTCATTCTCCCTTTTTAAAAACCAAAGTCTGCATTTTTTTTTTATTTTAGCAAATTAAGCAGCTTTTCTCTGTTACACTTAGTGTGCTGCTTCTCCACAATCTCATTTAATCCTTTTCAGTTACTGATTTAGGAGTTTTATCCCAGTTTTCAAATAGGGGAAGTGAGGCTTGGAGAAGTGCTGTGACTTTATGGTGAGAAAACTTGGAGAAAGAAAGTTTCTGATGCAGTCCCATCCATTTTCTCTCAATGATGTCTCTTATGAGGCCTGTGGAAAATGTCCGGCAAGGGAACCATGCACTTCACACCCTAGAAGCCTGAAGTTAAAGCAAAGAAACATCTTGTGCTGTCTGAAATCCATATCAAGCCCTGGTGTACAAAACCTGGGTCAGTGCTGGGCCCTGACACTTTATTAGGTGTGTGATGTTGGGCAAGGCAGTTCATAGTAATAAAAATAACTAGGATTTATTGATTTTCTCCAGTGCATCAGGCTGTGGCCTGGGCAATTGCTCATATACTCCCCCTTCCCCACAACAAGTTGGATATTTCATATTATACTGATCAGTAATCTAAGCCTCAGAAAAAGTAAATTGCCAAAGGTCATACAGCTAATAAGCAGGAGAGCCAGGATTATTAATTTATTAATTATTATTAAATGTATTAATGTTTGAGACTGTAACTTTAACCCCACCTCCCACTGCATACTTAAAAAGAACATCTTAAAGAATTTCAAAATCATCAATATATACCATAGACAGCTGTATATTTGTGTTACAAATATAAAAGGTTGTAAAGCATGGGCAGATAGGAATTGCTTTCAATGTGCTTTTTTAAAATACAAAAGTACTAACCTTCCAACGCAAACTCCAACATCTGTATTTGCTTCCTGCTAAGTAGGGGACATCCCCACCAGACAACTCCCCACCACTTCTTTATTTAGTAGTTGGAAGGTTAGTAATATGATTTTTGTGTGCTGTAAAACCACAGGGGTGGTAGGGACGTCAACAGTTTTGGCCCGTGACTTCAAGATGTCAAATCATCAATTACAGACTATCAAGGTTGATTATTACAATGGGATCCTGGAACAGAAAAAGGGCATTAGGTAAAAACAAAGGAAATCGGAGTAAAGTGTGGAATGTCATTAATCATAATGTAGCAATATTGGTTCATTGATTGTGACAAATATACCTTACTAATGTAAGATATTAATTATAGGGGAAACTGGGTGTGAAATATATGAGAACTCTCTGTAGTACTATCTTTATGACTTATCTGTAAATATAGAACTTTTCAAAAATACGAGTTTATTTTATAAAACTTTAAGAAAAAAATACAAAAGTAAAGATTTCATTTGCAATGTTCATTTGCAATATTCACTTGGGAACTTGCCAAAACAATTAAAACGACTGGTTTTTCAAAAGAGATAGTTATACTTGCACTGTTCAGCTCACGGGGTTTTTGTAATCACTGAGAGAAGGAAAAGTAAAAGCATTTTGAAAGTCTAAAGAGGTGACGAATGTCAGATGTCATTACAAACCTGTTAAAGCAAACTGTAGTTATATACTAACATGAAATGTATATGAAGATACATTTCTTAATCTTCATTAGGAGTCTGCAACTTGAAAAAAAGAGTGAAAGAATAAAAATGTAACTAGAAAGAAATGGAGTGAAAGGGGAAATGAAAACAAGATAAAAGAAAATAGAGAAAATAGCTGTCTTTCTTGAAAGAGATCAGAGGGAGAAAGAGAAGAAGAGAGGGGAGGGAGGGAGGGAGGAAGGAAGGAAGGGAAAAGAAAAAAGAAGGAAAAAGGAAAGAGCTATAAAAAAAAAAAGAATCCTTGGGGTCAGGCAGTTCCTTCAAGGAAAAGAAACTGGCCATGACCCACTTCGTGTTGAGGCTGGGTACAGTTCTTGCGACTGTTTAGAGAAAATCTAGCGCTCTCCCTGCCATTAATCTTTTCTAAAGAAAAGACTTTGTTCTGCACCTGTATAAACAATCCCGATTTTTAAAACCTATATGCCTGCCTCTAATGTGTGAGACTCTGTATTTATGCTGATAGCTTCAAGTCATCAATAGGCGATGCAAAAAGCTGCCTGAGATCTCCTCTTTATATCTTTTTGCTCCCCCTTCTCTCTCTCTCTTTTTTTTTTTTTTTTTGCTTTTCTCTTTCACCTGGCACACCTAGAGTCAAGTTCAAGTTCAAGCGTTTCAGGAAAGATGTCTACTCTCTGTCAAGTATTCCCTGCGTTTTCCCAGACCAGAGAGAACTGAGAGCGAGCGATCTTTTTACTCAACTGATCCCAAAGGAGCCCCTCCCCCTACTCTCCACGCCCGCCCCCCCAACCAAATGACAAAATATACCGGGAGAAAACCTCTGCAAACGGGGGCGAGCGGGAAGGGTTTGGCGAAACACCCCCACGGGGAGGCCTGGCCTGGGAGACGAAGGTGGAACGATGATGCCTGAGCGATGAAGTCAGCCCGGGCCAGCCACCTGTTGCGGCCCTTCAGGCATGGAGCCGGGCGCATTTGTTCTGCTGGAGGAGCCGGCGGAGCGAGGCTGGCCCCGCGGCTTCTGCCCGCTCCGTCCCCAGCTAACTGCCCATCAGTCTCTCCTTACGCTTCGCTCAGCTTGG